TGCATAACGCTGTGTGGAAGCTACCTGGTCTGTCGCTCCGCACGAAGCTTCGGGTCTTCTCGGCCACGGTCATTCCCTCCCTTCTCTACGCTTGCGAGACGTGGACCCCCCTGGTGGAGCATCTTCGCCGGTTGGAAACATTTAGGCTGGCCTGCCTACGATCCATCCTGGGTTTAACCAGGCTGGATTGTGTGAGGAGCTCACAAATCCTTGAAAGATCTGGGCAAAGTCCCATCAGTGAGCTCCTCCGGCAGGCAAGGCTGCGTTGGCTGGGTCATGTAGCCCGCATGCCCAGCCACCGCATGCCTAAACAGCTTTTGTTCGGCCGGATCGAGGGGGCTAGACGGGCGCGGCACGGGCTGGAGAAGAGATGGAGTGATGTGGTACAGGAGGACGTGGAGCTGAGTGGACTTGCCGATGACTGGTACCAGCGGTGTCAAGATCGGCCTCAGTGGAGGAGGCTCGTGAAGGACGCTACTGGGCAGTCGCCCTCCAACAACAACGGAGGGCGGAGGAGCGACGCTCACAACAACGAGCGGAGCGCCGGGTGGCTAAAACACAGCAAGTCGGCACAGTAGGAGGCACAGGTGGTGCATCAGCCAGTCATCTCGGTCATCTCGGTCAGTCGACCCGTGGCACCTGGGTCTGCCCCGTGACCTCCTGCCAGCGGGCTTTCGACACTTCACGTGGCCTCAAGGTGCACTTGGCCTGGCACAATCATCGTGGTGACGTCACCGCCACTTAGTGGCGAATGGCGGTTGTTGTTGTTGTTGTTTTGTATCTGTGTGTGTGCGTATCTGTGTGTGTGCGTGTGTGTATCTGCGTGTGTGCGTGTCTGTGTGTGTGTATCTGTGTGTGTGCGTGTATGTGTGTGTATCTGTGTGTGTGCGTGTCTGTGTGTGCGCCTCTGTGTGTGTGTGTGTCTGTGTGTGTGCGTGTCTGTGTGTGTGTGTATCTGTGTGTGTGCGTCTGTGTGTGTCTGCGTGTGTGCCTCTGTGTGTGCGTGTCTGTGTGTGTGTATCTGTGTGTGTGCGTGTCTGTGTGTGTGTATCTGTGTGTGTGCGTATTTGTGTGTATCTGTGTGTGTGCGTGGCTGTGTGTGTATCTGTTTGTGTGCGTATCTGTGTATGCGTGTCTGTGTGTATCTGTGTGTGCGTGTCTGTGTGTCTGTATGTGTGTGTGTGTGTCTGCGTGTGTCTGTGTGTGTATTTGTGTGTTTATCTGTGTGTATGCGTGTATGTGTGTGTCTTCATGCGTGCGTCTGTGAAGTCTGTGTGTGTATCTGTCTGCGTGTGTGTGTGTTTGTGTGTTTATCTGTGTCTGTCTGTGTGTATGCGTGTCTGTGTGTCCGTCTGTGTGTGTCTGTGTCTGTGTGTCCGTCTGTGTGTGTGTGTCTGTGTGTGTCTGCGTGTGTGTGCGTGTCTGTGTATCTGTCTGTGTCTGTGTGTGCGTGTGTGTGTATCTGTGCTTGTCTGTGTATCTGTGTGTGTGTCTGCGTGTGTATGTCCGCGTGTGTGTCTGTGTGTGTGTCTGTGTGTGTATCTGTCTGTGTGTCTGTGTGTGTGTGTCTGCGTGCGTGTGTGTGTGTCTGTGTCTGCGGGTGTGTGTCTGTGTATCTGTCTGTGTGCGTGTGTGTGTATCTGTGCGTGTCTGCGTGTGTGTATCTGTGTGTGCGTCCGCGTGTGCTGAGAAGCCGCGCATCATCCCCGTGTCTCCGCCCTCTCCGGTGGGGTGAGTTCGGCGGGCGGAACTCCGCCGAGCGGCGCGGTGTGACCCACAATCGAGGGGCGGTGGCGGGCGCCGCGGGGTTACGTGCGGCCATTCAACTCGAGCTGCGTCGGGGAGAAGGGAGGGGAAGAGGGAGGGGAAGGGAGAGACGGCACGGCGTGGGGAGAAGGGAGGGAGACGGGGGGGGCTGGTGCGAGCGAGGCAGGCAAGGCCACCATCTACGTGCGATTTGCGGCGTGATATGAGCAATGTTCGCGAAAAGTGAACACATTTTCCCGGTGTCGCATTTCGGAGGTCAACGTTTGACCCACACACACCGGTCCGTGTGATTGTGTGTGTGTGTTTAACAATGGTGGGGAGCGGTGGTGTAACGGCGACCCGAGTTCGATTCCCGCTCACGGCCAAACACCGGTGACGATTATCTGAACCGGTTCTGGGCCTCCCCCCGGTCGACTCAGCCTTAAATGAGTGCCTATGTGCGATGTGTAAACATCGCCACTGGGGAGACAAAGGCGGCCGGGCGTGGGGCTGGCCACCCACCCCCTCGTGTTCCGTTCCGGCCTTCATAGGACCTCGCTAACAGCACTTGCCCCTACAGTCTGTGAAGGCTACACGGGGGACCTTTGTCTCACGATGTGGATGGGGAATGGTGGAGTGTTCGCTTTTATTTAGTGGTGTCTTGTTTTAGTCGTCCCGTGTACACGTTCTAGCCATTTTTGTCAGTCAGCTGCTGCTGTCACGCCGTTGGAGTCGTGATGGGGGTTACTTGACCCTACTGCCAGTGGTGCCGCTGTTCACTGAGAGTTGGTGAAGGCGGGGAGCACGACACCAGAGTACAATACCCTACAGGAATTGATTCTGCTCCACTGCAATCCGGTGACACCGCCACAAGTCGGATGGCAATCTGTTCTGTCACCACACCAGAGCGTTGTCCAGGCGTAAACCTGCTTAGCTTACAATATCTGGTGTGAGTTCAACCCCGATGAAGCTTGGAGAGCTGAATGGAGTTCAAAAGCACTCACAAACACCTCGTTGTTGTGAAAGACGCAACGCAGAAGATCCTGGGTTTGATCTTCCACGAAGCGCACGGTCCACCCTAAACCGCAACCACCGCAGAATCCATGGCAGATACGGATACCTGAAGATGCACAAATGGAACATTTAAAACTCTCCAGTGTGCCACTGTGGTCATCCAGAACAGCCCGTACAACCTGTAACGACGCGATGCCCGATCCACAAATACGAAGGAGACATCGTCGCAGCGATTACACTCCGCTGCTCCTGACGCAGTCATTGCCTGGGCTTCACCACCTGATTGTGAAATTGTAGTCATTGCTCTCCATCTACATCAGCAGCCATACGAAAGGAGAATTGGATAGGAAGCATTTCAGGTGACTTATTCATTGACTTTTGCCCACCCTCCCACAATAATAATATTTACCACCATGGGAGAACAGCTCACGAGGTAGCACCAGTGAACTGAGATAACCTTGATGCTGGTGCCTTTTGGGCTATCTTTGGCCACGTGTCGTCCTTGGCCCCCATGCAACCCACGGTCTTGATGCACTCCAAAAATATACAATTTCTGGTGAGTCCCTATACAGTTACACATAGGGTAAACAAATCACAGTGAAATGTGTTAAATTGTGTTTGAGTGACGAACGGTTAAGTAATGAGAAATTCATTTACCGATGTTTAATTGTTAAGCGACGAAGTCACCCACGCATTTAATTTATGCATTTCACCGAGACATGGTGCGGCATTATTCCCCGTGAAACTAACATCGTGGCTTGAACTCCATTTTGTGTTGGCCTCTTGTTTTATTAAAAAGCCTAAAAAGATTAAAGACTTGGGGATGAATTTCCTCACAGAGGCAGTTTTGAAACTGCTTGGCATGAGGTTAAGGTTTCAGGGTCCGACTTCCCACACCGAATGTGTGAGAATTACAAGCATCTTTGCAGAAATGGTAAAAAAAAGTGTACGGTACTGTACTTTGGGAATTTTATTTATTTTATCTCTGGCTCAGATTTAGAACTACAAACAACTCCCCCCCCCCCCCCCCACTAATTTGATTGATTAGCGTGTAATATAATTTTGGTAGTACAAGGTGAATGTCGCAATACATATCTAGTGTGCATTTTTGTTGTTGCTGTTGTTACATGTTGAAGCATTATTAAACACATTAATCATCGTATAACCGTCGCAAGACGGCTTATGGTTGTCTCACCAATGCCAAAGACCCCCCACCCCTCCATTCCACAGATCTCGAAAGCTAAGCGGGTTGAGCATGCACAATGTTTGGATGGGTGGGTGTTCAACCACCCACGAACTGGCTACGCGGTGGACGGCAGTCCAGATATATCCTCTGTTGCACTGTACTTCTATGCCCCCCGCGCCTGCACGAACCCGCACTGAGCAGCGCGGTGGAAGTGTGGGACAATTGACCCCCTCGTGACCCCGCGCAGGTGTGATGGGCCCCCTCGTCCAGCAGTGGAGTGGCACAAATGACCTTTGCCGTCATCGCACGCATTGAGCGAGGCTTTAACGTTGTTCAGAAGCAGGTGAGACCCAGCAAATAGGCGACAACATCTAAAGTCGCGAGTCAAAAAAACAAGAGGGGGATGGAGGAGAGGGGGAGGAAATTATGATTATCGATTTTATATTGGCGGGACAACGCCGCCTTGCCTCGTATTTTATCTCAGCCCCTGGCGACCACCACGGCCGGTGGCCCGCCGTGATCGGTGCGAGAGAAGTCCAACAACAATGGGGCGGACAGAGCGAAGCGCCTCGCCGCAGCGAGCTGTGCGAGTGTGCGGGGAGGGGGGAGCTCTGACGAGAGAGACACAGAGAGAGAGATGCGTCACTCAGGAGAATTAATTCTCATTTAGAATTAATTCTTATTTTTTTTCCTCCTTTGCGGGATATTTTTTCTTCTTCTTTTATCTCTTTGCAACACATTTGTTTTATTATTATTATTGTAACGAAAAAAATTTGGGGGCCTGCGAACATCGCTCGCTCGTTTATTAAATTATTCGATTCGCCGAGCGGCGATTTCAGCAGCAGCAGCAACAACAGCAGCGGCGTCGGCTCCGCGCGCGCAGGAGGCGAAGAAAAGGGAAGACGAGCGCGAGACGCTCACGCGACGCCGCCTCGGCCAATGGGGGCGCTCGCCCGGCTCGCGGCCGCTGGCCAATGGGCGCGCGCGGCGGCCTTGCGCGAGCTCCTCCCTCCGCCTATATAAGGCGGAGGCCCCCTGGCCCCCACCTGGCGAGAAGCAGCAGCAGCAAAAGCGGACGGCTTACCACCTCCGTTCAACACTCTTCTCTTCCCCTCTTTATTTTTTTTTAAACTTCTCTCTCGCTCACATCTTTCACTCTTGCCCCCTCCCCCCCACACACACTTTCCACCTCTTCCTCGCTCTTATTCTTCTTCTTTCACTCTCATCGCCCACTCCACCGTCGAGTAACGGGGCAACTAGAAATAAATTTGGCTTCAAATAAGAGCACGGTAGAGGAGGAAATTTTTAATTGCAAGAGGGAAAAAAATCGTTGAGTAAATTGTTTATTTTATTGTAAACATAGAGGATTAACATTTTAAAAAATCGTTAAAAATCTTACTAAAGCAACGAACAGCAAAGCAAACTAGAATAATAATTTATAAATACTGTATTAACAGTACAGTACCTTAAGCCTAGTTTCAAAACGGGTTGCGGCCACCATTAGCTGCGCAACAATTCTAGCCAGAATAAATATCGTCATCAAACGCTGCTGCCTTCCCACAACCAGCCACGACCACCACAATCCCCGTCTTCCCCCCACCACCCCGCCCACTGCTGGTCCAGTGCTTCTGAGTCGAGAGCGGGGCAGAGAAATCAGCTGCAGTCGACCAAGTCAAAAGAGACCAGAAGAATAAGCAGCACAATGGGTCTCAGGGAGCGCAAATCACCCTCGGAGACGGCTCTCGAATGCCAACAGGCGGTGGACAAGAGCGGACCGGAGTATGTGGACATCCTGGAGATTCCAGACCAGGAGGTCAACAAGAAGACATCTGCCAGCGAGACCAGCAGCAGCAACGGCGGTCCTCCTCCCTCCATCACCAGCAACGGCGCCGATTCCTCCGTCTCCAAGGCGACGGAGGACGATGACCTGAACAGCAGCAGCAGCGTCTCCTCTGAATCGGCTCCACGCCGAGTCGTGTGGAGGAACGTGATTCTCATGAGCCTCCTGCACCTGGGAGCTCTCTACGGACTGCTGCTGCTGCCCGTAGCTCACCCAATCACCTGGGCCTGGAGTAAGTTGTGACCACGTTCAACACATTTTTTGTATTTTTGCCACTGAGCTAGGTATGGTTGTTGTTGTTGTTTTTTCAGAAGCGACCTGGCCACAAATGGTAGCTCAATGAATGTGGCTGATTTGTGTGGATATTTCTAGCAACTCTATTCTCATCGCGTGGAAAAATCCACGGGGAGAATATGCAAACTACAAATATGCAGGCGTCAGGATCGGGATCGAACCCACGACCTCTTGTATACCTGGCTAGGTAGTTAACAGCTCGCCACGAATTCTGGTTCTTCTAGCTGTTAGTAGTGGGGATAACGTGAGAGGGAGAGTGCTTGGGAATTCATTTTAAAAGTGAGGTTTGGGGTGGACTTTTAATGGCATAAAGTGCATTTAAATAAATTATAGGGAGAAAGATTAAATATTACTTAAAATATTTTGAGGTCGACTTGTCATGGATTATAGGACAATTGAAAAAAATAGAAAGAACATCTCCGAAAAGAGCTTAGAAATATTTAAATTTAACCTCGGACTGGGCATGGCTTAATAGGCATTAATAAAAAAATAACCTCGGAATGAATATGAAGTTCACTCAATGTTGTGGCTTAGAAGGCATCTTATTTGTTTATTAATGTTCCATAAATGTAATCATGTATTACCAGCTGAACCCATGAAAGGCAGAAAAAGGTTGCTGCAGATTATTCAAGCGCTATAGCGCTTCCAGAAATCAATACATGATGGCGGTAAATTTCACAATATTTGATAACTGTAATTATATACATTATAATAAATAATGTAACTTTTAAGAAAGCCTCTCGGAGCATCATGTGATGGATGATGTACCACCACCACCAACCGACGCTGACTATATTATTTGCACAGTGGTGGATTCGGGCCCTCCGGCATTGCGTGATGGGCTGGGCGGGAGAGATTGTTCGAGAACCGACACCGGCGCGCCTATTGACACCCCGTGCGGTAAAAACTGGAAGGCAGCAATAGCAGCAGCAAGCAAGCAACAAGCAACAATCAGCATCGCCACCGCGTTGGGTGCTGTTATAAACGCCCGCGCGCAGACTGCCACTGGCGTTTGGCGTGCCGTGCATGGCATGGCTGTGGCTTTTTTTTCTTTTGTGAAATGGTCTTTTTTGGATGGCTTAGGGTGGCCCTCGGCCCAACAATTAAGCTGTGTCGTAGTCGTTAAACAAATACGCCTCGGCTCCGTCATCGCAGAATGCAACGCAGAATTATTTTGGGAGAATGTTAAAACATTTCCCACAACTCAATACATGTTATCACACGTGGGTTTTTTAAAAGAAATATTTCACACATCTCTTTTACAGTATTCACGCCAGAAAGAATTGCGGTGGCTGCGTGCCAAAACTTACTGGCTTATGTAACAAACAAACAAATGCAGCTTGTGTAACACTGTACCTCATGCAATTCATACATGTCCTTGGTGAACTTCATATAGCCACGGTCCTGTTGTAACCGACCGTGCAGTAGTTTTGACCAGCTGCTCTTGCAAGCTACGAAGACAAACCCCATGCCCTGTAATGACCCGCATTTAGTATTCTAGGCCATGCCTCAACCTGCGCTGTTGTTCTTGTATTATTTATTGCAGAACGAATAATTTTAGATACGAGTTGATTTCCACTTGGTTACAGGCAGACAATGAACACCAAGATAGCCTAATTTTATTTGATTGCCTTCCTGATCGTGTTGCACATTTATTTGCCAGAAAAAAGATTGGCAGCCCCTCGTGTTTAAGCAGATTCACGTATACTCGTGTTTGTATTTCTTCAAACTGTTTGCAATTGGTCACCTCGACTTCTTTTGGCCAGATTGGGAATGGCATAACTAATGTGGTAAAACTCTCCAGTTTTTTCGGCAGGCATGGAGAATACTTGACATGCAGAGAGCGGTGCTTCAAGCAGCCACCCACTCCCTCTGCCCCTAACCTCATGGGTGCTTTAGTCCCACTGCTGTGTCGTCACTGGCTGTATTTGGTGTTCTGTGCCATTATATGTACAGTGAGCACTTTTCCAGTGGGAGCCCAAAGGGCCACCCCTCTATAACACTGTTGTGTGTGATATGTTCTGTATGCTTCATGCAGGGGTGTGGAATCTGACTTCATTTCGCCATGGCCACATGAGGCCTTGCGCTTAGAAATGGCCGGCAAATGATATTATGAATCCATCACCGTAAGCAAGCATCTTGGCCACACGAGCCGGGTTCTAGAGGGGAATATTTTCGACCTCATAACTCTTTCTAAATCCAGCAGCCCCTGGCCACCTGTTGAGAACCCTACCTTTTTTTTCGTTATTGAGTAATGGAAAGGTGTGCGTGTGTGATTGTATGGCCGGCTGTAGGTATTCAAATGTCCTATTTGGCCCTTGGTAAGAGAAAAGGTTCCCCCCACCTCTGATGTAACGGCGTTTCGCGTCACGCGCTGTTTTCATTCGGAGCGCCATCCGCTGTGCCCATGCTGCCCCGCCTAACCCGCGTTGCTGTGTGGCGTGCGGTGCGCAGCGTGGTTCTGCTTCACGGTGAGCGCACTGGGCATCACTGCGGGCGCGCACCGCCTCTGGAGCCACCGCTCCTACAAGGCCTCCTTGCCGCTGCGGGCTCTGCTCGCCGTCGCCAACTCCATGGCCTTCCAGGTGAGGGTGCGCTCAGGCTGCCTCGCCAACGCCGCCGCCACCGCCGCAAGCGACCGGCCATCTCCGCCGCACCTCCACCACACCTCCACCACACCTCCACCACACCCCCACCTCACCTCCACCACACCTCCACCACACCTCCACCACACCCCCACCACACCTCGTCATCGCATTTCACTCAGGGACTTCTCTATCACATTCCACTAATGAGCATCTTGGAGGTGGAGACTTCGTCATCGGGCAGCACGGTGATTCACCTTGTCACACACCGTCTCACACTTTCCATCTGCCCTCTGGTTAACATCATTTGCCCAGCCCTAGCAAGGAACCTTCATAATGAGTGGCTTTCAAATTCGACCCTTCCATACAACTTTCCCTCACACCCCCCCCCCGCACCTTCAATTAGCACGGTTGGCTATGAACAGTGCGAAATCAGTTCAACATAAATACATACGTGCGGGTACCCATCATTGCCCCTTTGTTGCTTGCCTAATGATGTCTCAGCTGAATGGCCGTTGGGGGTTCAGGTTTTCCCTCGTAAGACATCCCTTGCCTCACTGACCCATCTTGCCAGACAGTCACACTGCAACGCTGGATATTGACGTATTTACAAGTGTTGACTCGTCACCTGGGTGGCACTTTAGTCCAGCTCAACATTTTGTTTTCCGCCCTTGAACCCCTCAGTGATGGTGTTTGCACCTTAAATGTTGCAAGTTAATTCTGTGAAATTATTTACCAGTTGGAATAGCAGATAAAGAAATCAGCGGTGTTGTTTGAGCATCACTGCCAGAGGGCAGGGTGACGTTTCACTTGTTGAGTGATAACGGGCTGTTTGTAGGTCTCGATAACGTTTTATTGCGCACTCACTTGTCCTGCCAATTTATCCAGTGAAGAGGGCAAGTCTGGCTGTGGCTTGACCTAGAGTAACTTGACTGTGACATCATAAAAGTATGTTGTTAACAGCTGGTACATTCCATTGCATCACATGTCTTACAAAGCAGTTTTTGATGAGCTCATTAACAAACTGTCGAGAAGAAAATATTCTAGTCCTTGACTATAGGCAGAGCTTAGGAATGTGATGGCAAGAGCAGTTAGGCAAATTGGATATTTGGAATAGAATGACAGGAAAGCACTAGAATATATCAAGACGAAAAGGTTGAAATAGGTGGGACACGCGCAGGATGCTTCGAGGGCAGGTTGCTGAGACAGGATATTGGGAGTGGTACCCAAAGGTCTGTGACCAAACCGAAAGAGCGCTGAAACCAGATGGTGGGATGAAGGTAAAAGCAGGCCTTGGAAGGCAGACGTCAACTTTGTAGCAGCTGTAGGATCTAGCAGAAGGATGAAATAAACGGTGATATTTTGTGGCACGCTAGCGATATGTTAACTACTTTGCCGGGTATACAGGAGAGGGCATGGGTTCGATTCCGACCCAGACACATGTATATTTGGAGTTTACATGTTCTCCACCGGAATCACGTGGATTTTTCTCCGGGTCCTCCGGGTTTTCCCTCCACATTTAGAAACACGCGTTTAGAGTATTTGGCTGCTATAAATTTCCACTTGATAAGGCACTTCGTTGAGCTATGATTTATGGGCAGGTCGCTTCTGAAAAATAACTAAATAACTATATAGGGAAGTGGTAAAGTAAAAAAATAATTTAGTTTAGTAAATAGTTTATTTTGTGGCATCACTGGCTTTGACCTTGATAATCTCCACTGGATTCCTCACTCCAATGATATTGAAGATAGCATTTGATTTCCTGTATTTGCAATAACCTGCTGTTCAAACACTGGCGTGCTTTGCTTAATATCTGTACTGGTTATTATCATTATCATCACGAACTCTAAAGACCAGATGAAGACACACTCTCCGAGGGGGTCTGGGGTGCAAAGTACATTACAAAATGTCTAAGCACGGCAAAAAAAAAACCTGGCCAAAAGTTATACAGCTAAAGATAACCTGTCATAATTGCTTGTTAAATCGATAGAAGTGCTGCGTTGTTGTTAAATGTAACTTATGAAACCGCCCACACCCACCACCGACTCTTAATTAGAATTGGCTTCAGTTGAGCCCTCACCAAAATTTATTAATTCTCATTCTGTGCCCATTCGAGACATTGCCTGAATTTGTCTCCTATCAACCTCTGTGTTATTTACCAAATCTGACATTGCAAATCACAATGATTCACCATGCCTTTGAATTGCATAGCCGCCCATTAATCAGTGGTGGGGGCAAGCCACCCAATCGTTAGCCTCGACGTGACCACAGAGCCATTGGCCGATCGCGCCCCGGTGGGTTTGTGCACCAACTCGTTAGTGGGTTTGAGTGCTTCCTGCATTGATTGATATATTAATCAATCACCCTTGATCTCAAACATCAAATGCTTTTTTTTGCCAGCTATTTCTCTGTACAACACACACCAAGGTAAAGAAAATGCACAGGAAAAAATAAACATGAGATTGTTTTTCCACCCCGATAAATACAGTTTCTCCTCCGAGATTGCATGCTCTCCCTTTAAACAAAAGCCCTTTTGTTAACATGTGGGAATCTAAAGCCGCGCGTGTGCCTGCGTACGTGCGCGTGTGCCTGCGTACGTGCGCGCGTACGTTCACATCTGTACAGTGCTGATGTGTGTGGGCGTGAGGGCAAGCGCTTGCCAGAATGGCGCAAGCAGCATCATCGTGACCCGTTGCCAGGGCCGATGCACATCCTCTTTATGGTACCAATCTGTACTTGGCAAGCCGCCCTGGTACAGTTGTGCCATGGGGTGGTTGCGCTAACCCATTGTACCGTGCCGCGATGAGATTGCAGCACTATCCCCTGTTGGGCATTATTGAGCTATTGTGTGCTCCGCTACGCTCAAGCGCTTTGTTGTGCGTTGTGCCATCCTGTTTGCAATACGCTGTGCCGTGAATTGTGCGAAGAGCGAGGTGCGCTGTGCTGTGGGTGCCAGAGGGTGTGCTGATTGGCATTGCTCTTTTTAATGTATTGTCCCGGGGTGCGCGATTTAGCATTGGGTGTTGTAATAAATGGGTACTTTTTCTCCCTTACTAATCCAACCACATTCGCATCACCGGTATAGTCGATAAATACAGCGTACACGCTGAATCACAGACACGAAAATCTATGCATACAAGCGACGGATATTTCTGTAACGATTTGCAACAGGCATTTTGTGTGTGGCGTGATCACTCGACCTTTCCAGGCAAAACATCAAATGTGGAAATTGTCGAAACCGTGCTGCTGCGCAGGGCCAATACTGCACACAGATCTGCGATTTTTAGATGTCTCGCTTGTGCGTGCGTGTGTAAAACAAAAATCAAAAGCGGATAAAAAAAATCCTAACCAATACAATTGGGATTCACGTAGCAGCGAGGGCGTGGGGGAGAGGTTTTCTAAACACAGAGCTGTGCACGCTGCCAGAGAAAGCCCGGATGTCATGCGCTCCAGGCCACATTTGCCGAGTGGCTCGCTGGGCCGCACAGGCGCCTTGCAGCCTCACAAATTGGGGGGGCGGGGGGGGGGGACTGATGTTGAGCTGAGCTTTTACATGCCCGGTGCCTATCGTGAAGGGGGTGGGTGCACGTCTCATTATTTTTATGAATACTGCCCAGAGTCAGATGTTGCACAATAATCCGACGGTTCTTATTTTTTTTCGAATCGTTGTCTCTGGGTTTCGCAGCACACAGGGCACCTCAGCAAATGTTGCTTACGTAACCAATACTGGACAAGTTCGATATTAAAAGAAGGTTTTGTAAATAAACTGCTGGGTCAGATTTAATTTATTTTGTTTATACGGGGAGAAAGTCAGTGGTGGGGTTGGCATTTTGGGGAAAACAAAACAACTGCCTGCCAAATCACACACAGACAGTTTCAGCACAAGTATTTCAAAATGCATCCATCGTGATTCAACGATCTTTTTATCCACTTCACCATTCTCACTATCTGTGTCTTTGCGAACATTTTTATCGCAAGCGTTGTCACCTTTGCCACAATCGCGTCCATCGTTGAAGTCACGTCAGCTCGCGTTCGCTCGTGGTAATTTTTGTCCCACATTTGCTTCGTTGATCGTGAGTGGGGCCTTCGCAATACACTTTGCGGGAACCTCGGTGGAGAGATGTTAACTCCCTCACCTGGTATACAGGAGGTCATGGGTTCGATGCCGACCCCTGATGCCTGTGTATGTAGAGTTTGCATGTTCTACCAATTGTCGTGTGGATTTTCCTACGGGCTCCTCCAGTTTCCCCCTCCACATTTATAAACAACATGCGATTTAGAGCATTTATTTGCTTTGCATTTCCATGTGATAAGCCACTTCATTGAGCTATCATGGCCAAGTCGTTTCTGAAAAAGAGCAATATAGCTCAGGGGGCCTTACCTGGTAAAATAAAAATAGTAATAATTTTTATATAGTTTTTGGCCCCAATTGGGTGTTCAAGATGGAGGTGGCATTGGGGCCTGTCTAGTGACGATATTGCTCCTCACATTTCCCTTTCTTTGTAAAAATGCTTTCTTTCACCTACGTCGTTGCAACATCTCCCGCATCAGAAACGTTCTCGACTCTTCCTGCTGCCGAGATGGTACGCGAGCTTGGTCTTTAAAACTTCTCCACAACCTGCCCCACATATCGATCTTACCTCATTTCTGCCGATACAGTCCTGTGACAAATCCCCATTATCAAAACTGAAATTTTATTACAAACAAATTATTTGGTTGTCACTCACTTTCCTATTCTGCCCCCCTCAGTCTGGAACTCCCTTCCCCTCCATCAATTTAACACCCACGGTCCCAATCTCATGTTTAGCACCCGCCTCTTCTCACAGGTGCTTGAGAGCAGTGCCGCGGGGATCGTACGGTGGTCAAGGTCCCCCGGCCAGAGCCCCCAGAACCTCGCAGCGCCAAATGTATTTCCCACTTTCCAACTCTCCTCACCTTCCCTGGCCACACCCAATAATTAACCTCCCCCGTTGTCGGAAGACCTCTCCATTCATATCCCC